GTTTTTGGCAACGTGCAAAATCGTGGACATCATTATTTACGACAATTGTAACCATCTTTTGGAAACTCTCCAACAGCCATGACTTGCTCCAGATAAGCTTCAAGAATTTTGTAATGTTATTCAAACTAAGGGTGCACCGCTCAACAACTGTTGGGGGGGGGGTTCATGGATGGGACCGTTCGACCCGTTTGTAGACCTGTACAGTCGCAAAGAATTATGTAAAATGGACATAAAAGAATTCATGGTAATAAATTTCAGTCTGTTGTCGCTCCGAATGGATTAATCGCAAACCTTGGCTCTTCGAATATATTTGTAGCTAAAAATATTTGAATTGAGCATCTCTTTTACTAAATCATTGTCTATTTCTTCATCCCATCTAAATAGGAAAAAAAAATTTAATTCACTGAAAATTATTATAAATGGCATTGTTGATACAGTTTACTCAAGAATAAAGTTCCATATTAATCAACATGACATTACATACATTTGATTTGAGGGGCTTAGTATTTGAGGTCATCATAATTAAGATGTTTTTTATGGTGCAAAGTAACAAAAACTTTAATAGGTTTGAGTTAAATATTGGCAGTGGTATTGTAGGAATATATACGGTAATATTTGTTCATTTACATTGACATATCGCTAATACCTTTTGATCTTTTTTGTTGCTGATTCCTGATCTGCTGATGTGGTCAATGGTGCTACTGAAATTAATAAAATTATACATTGATTGAAATATTATTTTATATTATTATTTTATATTATTATTTAATATTATTATTGTTTATTATTATTTAATATTATTATTATTATTAACAGTGTTATTGTGTTGTTGTTGTTATTATTATTATCATCATTATTAATATTTGGTTACTTTATTATTTTTGTTATTTATTATTGATATTATAAATTTTTACTATTATTATTACTATTAGCTATTTGGGTTTATTACAAACAAGTAGTTTTGCCTGCCATGGTGACCGTACTCTAAGACAAGATCAATAAGGTTGGAAAACTTACCAGTACAAATCAGCTTATCTTGAAAACCTACAACAATGGATATTGCTCCTGGTGTTTGTTGTCCATCTGAAACAGATACAGTAAGCGTGTATAAAACTGGTAAAAAAGATAGACTCGAAATGTGTGTTGTAAAATTGCATGATGGTATTACAGTATTAACAAAAAAAAGAGAAAGAAAAAGAAATCTCTACCCAAAACACACACCCAAAAAACGAACATACCTAGGCCTCAGGCCTCTATAAAATATCTAGACTCAAATAAAACAGCACATTACTAAAATCCAATTTAACAAAAAAGTAGTAATATAGGCCTTCTTAACTTACATGCAAAAAGCTGTTGGATAGAGTTGATTCCGGAACTTGCAGTTGTAGTGGGTAGAGTACTATTGAACGTTAATAATCTGAAAAAGTAAAATCAATGAATATTTACTAACTTAGGTACAGTATGTCATTTATTTTTTAGGCCCTAGCGTAGCCTTAGGCCATGCCTAATTATAGGAATAATAAATAGCCCGATGCATCTGATTTTTCGTATCTAATTTATTTTTATATTTTTTCTTCAATCCATATATTCTTGTAGGGCTTTATGTCTTTATGGTAGTAGTACAGCTGTCTCTTATACACATCTAGATGTGTATAAGAGACAGTAACCTAGACCTACATAGGCCTAATATAGACCTAGCTTAGGCCTATACTACTAGGCCTAGGCTAGGCCTTTATATAGGCCTACACTATATTAATTAGGCCTAGGCCTATGGGTGGGCGTTCGCGAAGTTTAAATATGGATGACCGAAGCCTTACGTTATTTTTACTCTATGAAAGCAAACAAAAATAAAAGTGATAGGCCTACCTATACCATTACCATTATCAATCATTGAAACAAAAGTAATCATATTCATATATAACGTTTAAACTTACAATTTTCTAGCCATATTTTCTTGGTGAACAACAGAGGCCAGCAAGATAACTCGCGAGCTTGAAAACGAATCTATCTAGTGTTGACATGATCGACTCCCAATTGACGTACTGTGATTGGTCAGAAGTGTATGTCTGTGACGACGGATTCCCGGCTGATTTCACGTCCTCTACGAATGAACTCGACGAAACGTACCCAAGCATTATAAATATAATTACGCATGCGCATATGCTTTACAATAACGTCATACCGTCGTCGCAGATCTAAAACTCGCTAGCGTAAGTAAGCGCGAAATATGAATTTTTTAGCATCACGTACACTTTCAAAACATAAAGAAACCGTAGCTTGTCCAGGTACTTTTTTCACACACAGCATAAGCAATACTTAACGCAATGTTACCATCTGGTTTTTTACATGTATTATTGCCATTTATTCTTCAATTAATTGATGCAGATACCCCTTTTATATTCAATGATAATAACATGGAAGAATTATTTTGCATTTGCATGGCAATAAAGTGTTTTGTCGAAGCAAATCGTCGTCGACAACTTCGCCGGGAAGAAATATTACGAGAAATAATCTGTCATTTCATGAAAGAACAGGTTGGAGATGATGTACTTTGTAATGTACATCAATTATTAGAAAATGAATCAGTAGTTACACGAAGATGGTGGGTTAAACCAGGTGTGAGAAGTACCTGTTGGTGGGATAACAACGTAATGACTAACTGGGATGATGAAGAATGGCTACTAAACTTCAGGTGGGGTTAGAAATGTGGCCTGTACGTCACTATTTAATAGACACCTAAGATATTGTATTAGGCTAAAATATATATTAACTAGTGTCTAGGGCTATGCAATTGTATTTAAAAATATTATAGGCCTAAAAATGATAATAGTGAACAAATAACCTGTAGTCTTAGGCCCTAGGAAAATATTAAAAGCATAGTTTGTGTCTCTGGTCTTTCCTTTCCAATATTAAGCATCGACAATCCTATACTAGTTGCGAGTACAGCCGTCAATTATTAGTCTATGCGTGCCATTCGTTTTATGGTGTTAGTTTTTATTTTATTAATTTTCGGTACTTCACAATGTCTGTTACATCTGATTTTTTTTTTTACCTCGAGTTTAATAAATGCTTCTATAAACTGCAATTTGATTTGTGAAAATTGACTAAGAAAATGAAAAGTTATAGCAATTTAAAATTTACGAATTGTATAAAATTTCATGTTCTTATGTAACATTAATCTGTCATTTTGACAATGTTGGCATAAGGTGCCGAGAACGAACATTTGAGCATATACGGAAAATATATAGAATATTTTCCACCAAAAAAAGTTTCGAATTTAATGGAACATTTACATGACCTTTAAAAGTATAGTATATTTTAACTTCAATTTTCATAAATTGGCCAAAATTCGCTTATTCTAATTTTAACAGATATTAATTAATAAATGATTGAGGATTATAATAAACTAAGTCATTTTAGGGTTAACGAGGGTTAACTATTCGAAAAATCAATCCAAAAATCTGAGTATTTTTCAGTTTTACGCTGACTTAGCTTTATAGTCAAACCAATCGATCTTTAGACAAAATTATAATGAACACAGAAGTAATTTTAAAATAAATATTTTACGGAATCCGTTCCTGAAATATACAAATAATAACATACCAAAAGTCCATAAAAATCTAACCAGGGGAACATTGTTCATTATAAAGATATTTAATGGGTTAAAATCAAACGCTTTATTGCACAACTGCTCTGCTGGAAGCGTATAAATGCATGTCGTTGCCAAGTTGTTGCTAACGAAAAAATGTGAATTATAGGGTAATACGCCCGCGCGCGATCGAAAGGTGAGGAACACACATAGAGCTATTATATCTCTATGGGAACACATGGGTTTGTCGCGTCAAAAGGGATCTGTTGCCGAGTGATCTCCTTCCCAGTAATACCTCCATGATTCAACAGAAGGACGCACATCTCTGCTCTCGAACATAGCGCGTGCGTACAGTCCTTTGATCTTTACTGTGGCATCGACAATCCTATACTAGTTGCGAGTACAGCCGTCAATTATTAGTCTATGCGTGCCATTCGTTTTATGGTGTTAGTTTTTTACGGGATGCGATTTTTTTTCCCGTACGAAATATTTGCATGAAACTCCACTCGGGTTGTCTCGACTGACTCGGCTCGAAAATCTCAATTCTGGAGGTCAAAAGGTCATCAACTAAAGATAAACGTCCACAAAAATTCTGAGATACAGGATTGCTCGCGCTGTCTGATTTTTGAAAAAAACACATTGGTGTTACCATGCTAATATAATGGGTCGTTTAAAGCGACATATGTAATATTTGATTTCGCTGTGCACGAATAATAAAAAGTGTTAGGCCCTATTTGAATTTGACTTACATACTGTGAACATTTTTATTTTTTAGTTGGCCTAGGTTTTGGATAATTATTCGCGGTTTTGGATTATTTAAGTACCTATGTCATGACGAATTCGAGTCAACTCGGCCCCAGTCAAGTTGGGCCCAGTAAAGTCAGCCCCAAGTAAACTCGGCCCCATGTCAACTTGGCCCCAAATCAACTCGGCTCCAATTTAATGTGTACGGTATTTTACTGAATATTTACCAGGAGATTTGAATGCAAAGCCAAAATTAAAGTGTTTTTAAATCGATGCCTTTGTTATTTCTTTTCATTTACATGCACTTGCAATAATTAAAACTGCATTAATAAAAATAATATTAAAATGATGTTAATAAAAATTATACAAAGGTATATAGAATAACTAATAACAATAACGATATACTTGGGGCCAAGTGTACTTGGGGTTTGTTGACATGGGGCCGAGTTGACTTGGGGCCGAGTTGACATAGGGCGCCGTGTTGACTTGGCGCCGAGATGACAGGGGCCGAATTGACTTGGGGCCGAGTTAACCTGCTTCCGCCTAGAATTACCGTACTAAAAATTAAGGCAGGGAGTTTGGATTATAGGCCTCATATAGTATACTGTAGGTGCTTCTTGATTACAATGCTTAGGCTAAGTTAATTAATGGCGAAATTATATATGGTTATTTAATAATTATTATTATTATTTTATTATTATTGTTATTATTATTATTATTATTATTATTATTATTATTATTATTATTATTATTTAATATTAATTACATTACAAGGCTTAGGCCAAGTTCATTAATGCCGGAGTGATATTATATAATATATTTAATATTCACCATCTTAATTTCATGTTTTAAATTTGTTTCAAATTTCAGTCAATGGCATGCGAAGCGTGAATGTTGTGTCAGGCCTAGGGGCCTAGTCGGGGGGGGGGGGCTAGCAGCAAGGTAATTCAACAGAAGGACGTACATCTCCGCTCTCGAACATAGCGCGTGCGTACAGTCCTTTGATCTTTAATAATGCCAGAGTTATAACCTTTGATGTCCCGAGATGTGCGTCCTTCTGTTGAATTGCCTTGCCTTT